TATAACTCACTTCTGCCTGTCCCCTTCACATTTTATAGTTTCGGGGACTAGTCATGGTAATATCAGCCGTTTCCTTATAAGGAAACATTTGGCATTAATGGACCGAGCAGCCAGTACCGCTTTCGGTAGAAATTCATAAAATATTTCTCTGGAAACAATTTTTCACGAAAATAAGTTTCCTAAGTTCCTCTGACAGTTATTGCTCTTTCCACTAAGTGTGTATATTATGGAGGTTCAATCCTAACCTTTTATTTGAAGTATTGTGGAATGTCCATTCATTTTAGTTATTGCCACTGTTGCCAGTTCTCAGGTAATGTGGTTTCTGTTATCTGGTACAGTTATTTGTGATTCTGTAGCACTAGGTATATTTATCCGGACTCCCTCACCAAGGCTGAATGTGAATACATACTTAGGCATATGGGCCAAGGACAAAAATTGGTTTTTACCAAACCCCGAATGACCACTGTCATGCTGGCATAGGTGTTAATCCGGTTCAACCTCGTTAGTGCGATGAAGAAGGTGCTGCCGTAGGGTTGGAATCCCCGGGGCTGAGCAACGTCTCCCATCTAAAATCATAGCTCCACTTCCAGCACTGGGATTTTAACCACACCTCAGTAAACCCTCATTGGCAATGATTAACTCCTGAGCCAGGTAAAATTCTGTAGCGCCAATCCACAATGTTCAAAGGATGGTTTTCGCTAAGATCCACTCGCTCAAAGTCATTTTTAACCATTGATCCGAGAAAGCGGGTGTATGAAGCTGCCAGTTTAGATATTTCTGAACGGCTTTGTCACCATGCATAACGTGTATATGAAAGTTCAGATCTTACGAGGCTGAATACGCGCGGAGAATAGCTTGACTATGACGTTGGCGGGATGTGGGGGGGGGGAGCACTTTTGGGGCATAAAAAAAAAAAAAATAAAGAAAAATGAATCTTTGTCTCCCTTAAAACTTTCCCAACCACATCATCTAGAGTGTAATGTTTTCTTTTTGAATGCACGAGTGCGTAGGTTGAAATGTTGCCACCGGATGTAAATGAATCTTTGGCGGTGAGGAGATCAACCCTGGCGGGAAGCTATGAAAGCAATTGGCAATGCAAGTACGAAAAGAAAAAGAAAAAATAGGAGAGGAAAATTAAATGATGCCTAAATTGTAAAAAAAAAAAAAAAAAAAAAGAAAAAGTGATCCTTTCAGTTTTCCCCCAGGGCAGTAAGACAAACAGAGAAAAGTGGCGGGAAGAGACAACTCAACACCGCCGACTCAGCACCGCCGACTCCGAACCGCCGATTCCGCGCCGGGACAACTCAGGACGGACACAACTCAGCACGGGAAAATCATAATTTTTTTTTATAACCGAATAAAAGTAATTTATTAATTAACCTTAATTAGTGGACATTTTTCTTCAAATAAGGCATTTGAAAAGGCATTGTGTAAAATATGTACGAGTTTTTGCTTTTAATTATCTTATATATAAAGTACGGTGTATGTGTGTTTGTGTGTATATATATATATATATATATATATATATATATATATTATACTAGCCATTATCGTTTCTTTCATGGTTCAAGGGGAGTAACTCTTAGTTTCCCGTCGGGCGGCATTTAAGCTAGCTCCTGTGGAGGACTCTTGGTTTGGCCATCATCACAATAGCCAGAGAGTAGTAGATGTGACAGGCATCAATAAACTATAGAAGAACTCAAAATTGATCGCTGCATTTAAGTACTGAATTAATGTTTAAGCGTATCTTTTAAAAGTTCAACGATAATTGTTCTGCTGCCACTTAATTTAAAGACGATTTGATGTACGTAGGTCCTTACTTTTCGTACAAACAATTATTTCTATTTCATGGATGACAGAACAGGGGCCAATTTATAAGATAAAATTAATATAGTGTAAAGATGGGAAAATAGAAATTAGAATTAGTTATACATTAGTTATACATTGAACATTTGAAGAGTTAGAGAAACATAACAGCTAATTAAGTAAAACCTGTTGTAGTGACAAAAGTACGCAGGTATACACCTGCGTACTTTAAGAGAGCTTTATTCGACTGAGAATACAAGTGTATAGTGTCCTTTTATAGTCCCAGTAAACAGAAATAGCTCTCTCAAAGAGGAGAGTAACAAAACAAGGAGAGAACATTTTTGATTATTCATAACACCTATATTATGGAATATGGAATATTTTTCCACTCTTCTTGGCGAGTTTGTGGTTGCGTAAAAATTAAAAAAAAGGATGCCATGGTAGACGAAAAAATGTTGAGAAATGGCAACCAGTGTACAGGGACTGAGATATGTACGGTGGAGTGCCCCGTGCTCACCATCGTGGAATGGAGTGAGATAACTGGTTGAGTGCCCTTCGGTCACTAATGCATGAGCCCAGCTAATGCACTTGCAGGAGTAAAGCGACTGCAATCGACAGCTTGCGAGCGACCAGCTAGTTCTTAATAAAGTAAATCGTAAAGAAATGTATTTTAAAAAAATAAATCATCTCTCCGATTTCTAATTAAACGTAGCCATTCATTGATGTTTCCAACGATACAAGGATTATTCATTCATGATCCGAATCTGAAGGGTCCATTCGCAACTGTAGGATGCACGGGTTTACTATTTAATAATATTGATGGGTTTACGTCATTTCCTGGAGTATTTATCTGCACATAAAGTTGGTAGCACAAGCCAAAGACACTGGCTGTCAATATCTCACAAAGAAATGAGGTGGAAAATACTGACAACGTGGGGCAAAGTATGCCTATCTCAATTTGTTTTATTTCCCCGATTTTCGTTATTTTTATAATCTAAAATGCGTTAAAATATAATTTTTTATAGTTTTTGTATAAAATAATCTTAAAAAAACTACCCTGTAAAAATGAATTCTCTAGTACGAGGGTCCGTCCTGGGTATGACGATAAACTACAGCCAGCAGCAGGACCTCTGATTAAGAGGTTTTAAGAGAAGTGAAACCACCTTTTAATTGCTGCTTTTCCTAGGTCTATCCTGACGCCGGGTGGTAGCACCTGTTAGCATCCCGGCGGCGGGAAAATAGTTAAGCTTTAAACTGGGGGTCAGAACAGTGTGAAAATATTAAAAAAAAAATATCATAAAAATACAGGCAATACATTTTCATAGTAAAACAAAAGTAGCAGCAATACATTTTTGTTAAAACAAATAAAAAAGAAGAGAAATAGCAATATATTTTTGTAAAATAAATTCCTAATGTACCCAAGAAATTTAAATTTTGCCATTAGATGGTCACATAAGGAGTTGATATGCCCCTAAACAAGCAACTAAAAAAATTCAAGTTAAAAAATGAAAAATTCATAATCAAGACAAGTTGGCATAGTACTCTCTATTGATGGTGTGACCCTTTTGAAGATAGTCAATAAGCACAATGTCTTTTGCATCCCTAAAAAACAACTTCAGTTAAAAAATGAAAAATTCATAATCAAGACAAGTTGGCATAGTACTCTCTATTGATGGTGTGGCCCTTTTGAAGATAGTCAATAAGCACAATGTCTTTTGCATCCCTACAAAAAACTTAAGTTAAAAAATGAAAAGTTCATAGTCAAGGCACTTTCATGGAATATGACCAAATGATGTTTATTTTTCAACATATTCTCCTTTGCAGTCGACACACGTCTTGCATCCGCTGTTGCAGTGCTTGAATCCTTTGGTGAAGAAGCATTTATCCTGTTGGTAAAAAAAAAGACGCCATCAAAAGCAGATATAGCGCCATCATCACTGCGATACTGTTCCTAGTTAAGTGTATTTTCATGTTGGGGAACAGATGATAGTCAGATAGAGATCAAATCAGGAAAATAGGGAATCACTCACGCATAGAAGCTATTGAAACAAAGGACTTGTATGGTGGAGCATTGTCCTGATGAAACAAGATCCTTTACTTCAGTTTTCTTCGGCGTTTGGTCTTCATAGCCTTGCGTAACTGCCTCAGCAGGTTAGCATAGTACTCTCTCTTGATGGTGTGGCCCTTTTGAAGATAGTCAATAAGCACAATGTCTTTTGCATCCCTAAAATATCGAAGCAGTCACCTTCCCTGCAGATGGAACGGCGATGAATATAATTTGGAGCATGGGAACAGGGATGTTTCCACTGCATGGGTTCTCTCTTCGTTTCTGGCTCAAAGTGATGAACCTAATACTCATCACCTGTTAAGAAACATTCAAGGAAACCAGGTGGGTCTACCTCAAACAATGTCAGATTTTTCCTTGATCTGATCTGCCTGAAACTTTCTTCAAAGCTTTCTTTCCCCACTTAAATTCAGTTGTCTAATGTAGGACGGAAAGTGCGACACTGACCTCAAGACGTATTGGAATGGCCAAAGATGTATTCCAAAAGCTAAGCAGAGTATTAAGAAACAGGAAAATTTTGTTGGAGAAAAAAGAAAGGTGTACTGAACTGTAATGCGGCGAATACTGGACAATCTCTTCGAGGTTGAAGAAGAGACTCAAAGCAACAAAAATGTGGTTCTACAGAAGGATGCTAAGCATACCACAGGCCGAACATGTGAGAAGCGACGAGGCTTTGGAGAGAATGGAAACAAAGAGGAAACTTATACTTAACATCAGGGAGAGGCAAATGAAATTAACTGAGACACGTAATAAGGAAGGGGTGCTTGGAAAATCGGATACTCACAGGACGGATAGAGAGAAAGAGGGAGAGGGGAAAGTAATGCGTGACATACTTAATGGGCTTGAGCTAATGGATTGCAAAACAGGGTTTGTGAGAAATAAAAAAATGAGAAAATTTATTAAGAGTTACAAAGGATAGAAGGTTGTGAAGGTCAAATGAAGAGCCCTGCGATAGAACGGCTTTTAAGCTAGTATATATATATATATATATATATATATATATATATATATATATATATATATATATATGCATTGTAATTAAATGATATCTCTTCTATTACAGAGGCATATATTCGCACATACATTAAAAGGCATAGAGAGGAAATAAATAAACAAGATCTACTATCTACTAGCAATCACAGGAGAAAGAAAGAAAGAAAAAGAAAGAAAGAAAGAAAGAAAGAAAGAAAGAAAGAAAGAAAGAAAGAAAGAAAGAAATTAAAATTACTTTGGTTTGGAATCTCAAAGGAAGGGAAAAAGGAAGGATAGATAGATAGAAAGAAAGAAAGAAAGCAAGAAAGAAAGAAAGAATGGGATTGAAGATACTTTTTTTGAATCTCAGAAGAAGCAAGCAAGAAAGAAAGAAAGAAAGAAACAAACAAAAGTAAAGAAAAAAAAGAAAGAAAGAAGAAAGAAAGAAAGAAAAAAAAAAAAAGAAAGAAACTGAAAATGCTTTGGTTTGAAATCTCAAAAGAAAGAAAGAAAGAAAGAAAGAAAGAAAGAAAGGATTGAAACTGTATAGATTTGGAATATCAAAAGAAAAAAGAACGAAAGAAAGAAAAAAGAAAGAAGTAAAGAAAGAAAGAAAAAGAAAGAAAGAAAAAAGAAAGAAAGAAAAAAGAACGAAAGAAAAAAGAAAGAAAGAAAATTGAAAGAAATAAAGAAAAAAGAAAGAAAAAAGAAAGTAAGAAAAAAGAAAGAAAAAGTAACAAAGAAAGAAAGAAAGAAAAAAGAAAGAAAAAGTAAGAAAGAAAGAAAGAAAGAAAAAAGAACGAAAGAAAGAAAAAAGAAAGAAAAAAGTAAGAAAGAAAGAAAGAAAAAAGAAAGAAAAAAGAAAGAAAAAAGAAAGAAAGAAAAAGTAAGAAAGAAAGATAGAAAAAAGAAAGAAAAAAGAAAGAAAAAGAAAGAAAGGAAGAAAAAAGAAAGAAAAAAGAAAACGAAAGAAAAAAGAAAGAAAGAAAGAAAGAAAAAGAAAGAAAAAAGAAAGAAAAAAGAAAGAAAGAGAAAGAAAGAAAGAAAAGAAAGAAAATGAAAGAATGAAGGAAAAAAGAAAGAAAAAAGAAAGAAAGAAAGATAAAATAAAGAAAGAAAGAAAAAAGAAAAAGTAAGAAAGAAAGAAAAAAGAAAGAAAAAAGAAAGAAAAAATGAAAAAGAAAAAAGAAAAAAGAAAGAAAGAAAAAGAAAGAAAGAAAAAAGAAAAAGAAAGAAAGAAAAAGAAAGAAAGAAAGAAAAAGAAAGAAAGAAAATGAAAGAAAGAAGGAAAAAAGAAAGAAAAAAGAAAGAAAAAAGAAAGAAAAAAAAAGAAAGACAAAAAAGGAAAGAAAGCGATTGAAAATGTTTCTTTTGGGACCTCAGGAGAAAAAGGGAAGAAAGAGAAGAATTGAAAATGTTTTAGTTTGGAATCTTAATAGAAAGAAAAAAGAAAGGATTGAAACTGTATAGATTTGGAATCTCAAAAGAAAGAAAGAAAGAAAGAAAGAAAGAAAGAAAGCGATTGAAAATGTTTTCTTTTGGAATCTCAGGAGAAAATAAAGAAAGAGAGGAATTGAAAATGCTTTAGTTTGGAATCTCAGAAGAAAGAAAGAAAGAAAGAAAGAAAGAAAGAAAGAAAGAAAAAAAAAAGAAAAAAAGAAAAAAAAGACGCAAAGAAAGAAAGAATGAATGAAAGGGGTTGAAATATATTCTTTTGGTATCTGAGATGGTAAAAAAAAAAGGAAGACAGAAAGAAAAAAGGAATTGAAGATGCATTAGTTTGGAATCTCAGAAAAAAGAAAGAAAGAAATGTAAAAAAAGAAAAGGAAAGGAGAGTAAATATACAAATCTACGAAGAAAGAAAGAAATTTTTTTTTAATCTCAGAAAAAGAAGGAAAGAACGTAGCAGCTTGTTGAAATTTATTATGCATAATTGCGTATATATATATATATATATATATATATATATATATATATATATATATATATATATCAGAATTGATTGATGATGTCCTCCGCTATGAAGGCCTTATACCTTACTTACCTAAATTACAAAAAATAACTCACAGAATTCGTCGAAAAGCTTTCATCCATGGGTTTACGATTAACCCAAGCTGAAAAAACAGTTATGCGTCTGGCGACTAAAGCGTCCCTCGAAATGAGAAGTATGACACCTTAGAGACACCAGACACTGGAAGCAGCATTTGACCTTGATTCAGACAAAACACTTTGGAATTGATCGCCAATTAAAAGCGACAGAAAACAGCGCCATTTTCAATTAAGTCACTGACCTTCAACGACGGAAATTCTCGTCATCCACATTTAACCATTCGACGATATCTTCTTCTTCAACATGCCATGTCCCTTCAGGACGTGGGTGGTCATGGCTCTCAACGTCTTCCTATGCTTGTCTTTTTTACTATATCTCTCATTCACTGTTCCGCTTTCCGTTAAAAGAAGCGCGCTGTTTCTCTCTATCCTTCATGTCTTCACGTAAGTGTAGAATTTTTCAAGCCTATATATTTCAACGGGTCACTTTCTGATTCTAAGTAGAATTGTCCTTTTTGCTTCCCGTTTCCTTAAATCTTCCTTGTTGTTTACATGTACCGTCCATGGGATTCTCAGCATCACATTTTAACAGATATATTTACCAAAATTACACAAAAATATCTAGAAACACTAAAGTGTAAATTTATTCAATATAATCGACATTTTCTTCAACCATAGCAACCCCCCCCCCACCAGACGACTTCGGAATCTCCTGCAACTATTCTTTTGTTTAAGTTGGTGAATGCTGCCATAATCCTTGCCTTCAGTTCATCTTTGGTTTTACACGGAGTTTTGTTGGTCTCCCGCTTAATTGCGCCCCACACATAAGGTTGTTGCAGTCTTTGGATTTAGGTAGCCATATATAAGGGGTGATGTGGTCGCAGAAATTGTCTGACAGCCTTGAATGTGTTCTCCTGCTTGTGTAGCCAGACATAGGGTCTTCCCTCTTAAACAAGGACAGCATTAACTCCTCAAGGCATTTGATGTAGGCCTCCGTGTTGAGTCTAAGGTCCTCAGACAAATTTGGGAGTTCCTCTCTTACAGAACAATCATAGTGAGTTTTCCGAGCTGTCTTACTTTCGCAACCACCATTAGACTCTTTCAACGCTTTCCAAATTCTCTGAACCGCTTTCAGATTGACACGAAAACACTCTGAAATGTTCGTATTAGAGCTCCCAGTGCGAATGCCAAGCAGTACAGCATGCCGTTTTTAAAATTTCTGGCGGAGTGAATTGCATCATGGTGTTCTTTTTCTCACAGTGCCCAACTGACCCTACTATACTGTACAGTCGACAGAATCAAAAACAAACGACACGCATACGCGAAATTAAAAATGTAATATGGCGACAGTTTACCTATCGGATACTATTATATCGTCTTACAATTGATGATTTTTCTTTTCGTTTTCTTTTACTACATTGCTTCTTCCTGTTCTTTTTTTTCTATGTAACGTCTTCACAGTGTCATCAGCATATTTTATGTTGTTAAAACTATGCCCATCGATAATAAATTCTGGTCGGACTTCTAGTTAGCTTATGATTACCTCGTTGTAGAGGATGAATAAATCCGGTGAGAAGACACATCCTTGTCTTACATCCTTTTCCGTTTTTATTATTCAATCCATTTTCTATCTATTATTTATTTATTCATAATCGCCTATGAACGTTATGATATTTATTTCCAAGATACTTAAGGGCGCCTTGGCGTGGTGTAATGGTTAGCAAGCTTGTCTCGTTAGATCAGTTACAACTGAAAAATGAGTTCGATCCTCACTGGCTACCCCATAATTTCGGCCTTGTGCCACATCTGAGCTACGCTTGGAAAATCACTACTTAAGACACGCCGTTCATACTTACCGTCTGCATAACCGCTACGCCATGTGCACATCCATCAAGGAACATGGCGTGAAAAATATATATCAGTTACTAGATTGCATCAATGTTTTACTTCTATGTAACCCTTCTGGACGTGAGCGATCATGGTTCCCCAAAACCTTCTATCTTTTTTAATAAGCAACGTCCATCCCTTTGTCAACCCTCTCAATCCACTTTTCGCTATGCATTCACACAAGTCCCATGAGTGTCAAATTCTTCGAGACTTCCTTTCTTATAATGTGTTCAAGAAAGTACCTCTGTTTTTTTTCTATTTCTGAATATGAGTATGCTTTTTGTTTCCATTTACGGAGTGTGTAAACAATTTTTTCATGTATAGTGTTCTCAGCATCCTTCTGTAGAACCAAATCTCTGTTGCCCACAGGCTTCTATTCATCGGTGAGGAAATTACCATAAAGGAGGATTGGTATATTACAACACAGCACAGTATTCATTTCTTTGTTTCTAAATATTTTTTCCTGTTACTTTTAGGAATGGCAAATGACTCTTTATGGTGTCCTTTTTGTTTCCATTTCGTCGTTGCTCACATTTTCAGTCCATAGTGATCTCAGCATCCTTCTGTAGAACCAGATCTCTGTTTCTTCAAGTTTATTCTTCATCTGTGAGGAGATTGTCCAGCATTTACTGCCAAATACAAAAGACAAATATTATATAAAATTCAACTGTATCTTTCTGATATTAAAAAGAGAACATTTTGTTTCCATTTTCCCTAAAAAGGTTTGTCGTTGCTCTCATATGTTAAGACTATGGTATTCTCAGCATCCTTCTGTAGGACCACATTTCTGTTGCTCACAGGCTTCTATTCATCGGTGAAGAAATTGTCATAAAGGAGGATATATATATATATATATATATATATATATATATATATATATATATATATCCACAGACGTATCACAGGTCATCAGTTGGCTAGACATCCGATTGCTTCAAGCTGGGATCGAAACTTGACCGATTTTGGCATTAGTCAGAGACTTTGCACCTTAGCTATCGGCGCACGACTGAGACAGTATTTATTTTGATGTATATAAATGCTATAAAAGCAGCAAGAACGTTCAATTCTGAAGTAATATATATATATATATATATATATGAAAAGTGAATATAAATATAAATAAAATATATATATATATATATATATATATATATATATATATATATATATACCCTGGGTTTATCAGACAAACTCTGATATATAATAGATAAATCCAACAAAATTACATCATACGTTAGCATTTTTCGACGCATTATCTATACACACACACACACACACGCGCGCATGTATCTATCTATCTATCTATCTATCTATCTATCTATCTATCTGTGTGTGTGTGTGTGTGTGTGGTATCAAAAAATCTTTTTACAAATTTTTACAAATTTTGGGGTTCCTCTCATCAAAACAAGGAGAAATATACATATAAGCATATGTCCGTAAGTCCTTCGTCTTAGAGTTATTAAATTGAAAGTAAGTTTACGGCAGATGACGCTGTGTTGTCATTCGGACTAGGTTACATTGGTTATTTGTGTACATGTGTAGCTAGTATGTCTTCAACGTTTAACGTGTCAAGTAGTAAGTTAACGGGGATGTATTTCATTTAAAAATGGCAGGATATTCATCGGTAGAAGGCAGATATGATTTTTACATACGGACGGGCGAATTGTAATGGGGGCGTGGCTGCACGGATGTATTAAATTGCGTTTCCAGAACGAAGGCAGCCGATTCATCCTACCTTTTCTGCTGTTTACCGTCGCGTTGCTGAAACAAGATCCACGGCACCATAAACTATGGATCGAAGAAGACCGAGATCGACTAATACGCCTGACCACGAAGAACACGTTGAACAGGTTGTCGGGGACGATCCAGGTATCAGTACACTTCATGTGGTCCTAGAATATCTTACATCTCATTGTACCGCATGGAGGGTACTTCAAGAGCAGCTCCTGTATCCGTATCATTTGTAACGTGGGTAGGATCTTTCGCACAGTGATCTCTCACCACGGGAGAATGTTTGCCGATGGTTTATTGCAAAAATACCGATCCGTTGTTTGTCTCTTCACTCTTGTTTACGGATGAGGCAACATTTGGAGGAGATGGAACAACAAATTTACAGAAACAACATTTTTGGTCGGATCGGAATCTCCATGATACAATACAAGCTATCAGTTTACGATTAATGTGTGGGCTGGAAATGTAGGTGACTGTCTGGTAGGTCCATATGTTCTCCCGGCACGTCTTACGGGATCTACGGGGACTTTCTTTCGAACACACTAGACCTGCTAGAGGATGTACTCCTGCTAATACGAAGACGTATGTGATTCATGCATGATAGGGCTTCAGTAAATTTAATTCCATTGTTAGGAATGCACTGGTTGATATCTATCATGAATGATGGATTGGTAGGGGGGACTTGTTCCATGGCCTGCACGTTCCCTCGGCCTTAAGATTTTTTTATCTGTGGGTCCACCTAAAACTATTGATTTATTCAACAGACATTAATAATGCAGAGGTGCTTCATCAACCTATCATGAGGGTCTGCGAAACCATTCGACACCGCCAGACAAAGCTCCGACGGGTGCATGCGTGTGTAAAAGCAAGGAGAGGGCATTTTGAACATTTGTTATGAGTTTCTGAGTAGAGGTTTTGGTGACCTTTCGGACATATGTTCCGAGCCCTCAAAGTTTGTAAAAGTATGTTTGGATTATATCTTGGATTGTTCATTTAACAGCGTGTATCGTAAACTTTAAACTTGACTCAAAAAACGAAGGATTTGCGCACATTTTTTTCATATGGACTTTTGCCCTTGATTTCGCGTGAAGAAACCGCCCCAAAGTTTGTAAAACTATTTTTGATACATATATACCTTTGTAATTGTTTGATGTTGATATCTCCAATTCGTAATTCGCATCTTGGGCTTTTTCTCTGGTTAAAAAATATATCTTCGGTCTTCTTATATTTGATGGCGGTCGCGGTGAGAGAGGAGATGGATTCGTCATTTCCAAGGACATTTGGGAAAATAAGTAAGAAAATGCAACAAGCAGGACCGGAACTTGAACTCGGTTCACAGTTTCCCTTTTCAGTTACGCTAGCCACTTCCCAAAAGAGACTGGTTTGATGCCAGTGTTTGGAAATTTATCACCCGGGTTAGGCAAGTGGAAAAGCAGAACTTTATTATATCAGTGTTATTGCGATATTTATGGGGTTATTTTCACGGCAATACTATTTACAATTTACAATTGCCTTGTGCATTATATGAAGACCTTTCACCATCTGCCTTGTTACCCCGCTCCATAATATACAGTTCAGTTACACTTGAGGTCGTAAATGCAAAGCCATATGTTTAACTTTGCCAGCGTCAATAAAAGAAGCAACATTTATACGGTACAAATTTCTGGAACTTGCATTCTTCTTCCTTTTCTTCTATGTGTTATGTCACTTAGGGACGTTGGTGATCATGGCTCTCTACATCTTCTTGTCTTTTGTTGTTCTAAGTAAATTTTAACACTTTGACATTCCTTTTTGTCCCTATTCTGTCATTCATCTACACAAGCTCATTACATAGGAGATCATGGCTCTCCACATCTTCCTGTCTTTTGTTGCGCTGACTTTTAACTCTTTATCATCCCCCATTTGTCTCAGTTGTCATCCGTCATCACAAACTCATTATGTAGAGGAGATGGCGCTCCACGTTTTCCTGTCATTTTTTGCAATAGTATTATTTTAAACGTTTTTCAATCCATCTATGTTCGTGTTGTCATCCATCCATACAAAACTATAACGTCAGGGATTATGGCTCTCCACATCTACCCGTCTTTCGAGGCAACATCAAACGTTTTACCATCGCTCTTTTCCCTATTATGTCATCCATCCTCACAAACTCTTTAGTAGATGATCGTGGCTCTCCACATCTTCCTGTATTTTTTTTTGCTATATCTAGTCTTTTGTTAATCTATGTAACATTTAACACTTTACGATCCCTTTTTTGTCTCCTGTCATTCATCCTCACAAACTCTTTAGTAGATGATCGTGGCTCTCCACATCTTCCTGTATTTTTTTGCTATATCTAGTCTTTTGTTAATCTATGTAACATTTAACATTTTACGATCACTATTTTGTCCCTGTTCTGTCATCCATCCTCACAAACTCTTTAGTAGATGATCGTGGCTCTCCACATCTTCCTGTAGTTTACTATTACCTAGGCGATCATGATCATCGACGTTTTCTTGTCTTTTGTTTCTCTAATTGACTTTTAACTTTTTACCCCCCTTTCTGTCATCCATAATCACAAACGCATTACATAGCGGATAATGGCTGCCCACATCTTCCTCTCTTTTTGTTCTAAGTAACTTTTAATTCTTTAACATCTCTCTTTCTTCCTGTTCTCTCATCCATCCACACAATCTAATTACGTAGGGGATCATGACTCTCCACATCTTCCTTTCTTTTGTTGCGCTAAGTGGCATTTAACTGTTTACCATCCATCTTTGTTCCAATTCTCTTATCCATGCTCCCAATGTCATTACGCAAGAGAAAATAGCTCTCCACATCTTCCTGTCTTTCGTTGATCTAATAACTTTTAACTCTTGACACTCCCTCTTTGTCACTGTTTGTCACTGTTCTGTCACATGCATCTTCCTGTCCTCTTTTAACTCTTGACCTCCCTCTTTGTCAAACTCATTACAAACTAAACGTAAACATGGCTCTCCACATCTTCCTGTCTTTTGTTGCTCTATGTAACTTTTATTTCTTTACAATCACTCTTTGCCCCTATTCTGTCATCCATCCAGACAAACTCATTGTGTAAGGGATCATGGCTCTCCACATCTTCCTGTTTCTTGTTGCTCTATATAACTTTTAACTCTTTACAATCACTCTTTGTCCCTTTTCTGTCATCCATCCTCACTAACTCATTACGCAAGGGAACATGGCTCTCCACATCTTCCTTTCTTTTTTTGTTCACTGTAACTTTTAACTC